CCTCCTGCATTAGAGCCCTTTTTCGCGGTTTTCGCGCTCTACAATGTGCATTTTCGGATTCGGCATAGCGAATATGCCCGGTTAAGCTCAAAATCTTAAAATCGACTCTTGGGCGGACACTGCCTTCAAAGACCCACCCCATGGTAAGAATAAGTAATGATAGTGATAGATCAATTGAAGAACTCACCTATCAAAACCCGTGCATGTTACAACGGGGTTGTTCAACTCGAGATTGTCAATGATATCCTTACGTACCACTTGTGTTGCAGTGGCAGTAAGAGCAATCGCGGGACAGTCACTGTAATAAGATAAAATATGCATTTTAGGTCAGGCTAGAAGTCAAAGCGCTCACGTCAATATTCTCCTAATTTTTGCTAACCCACGATACGAAGAGCGAAAGTCGTGACCCCACTGAGAAACACAATGAGCTTCGTCAATGGCAATCAATTTGACCTCTGAATATAGATTAGACAAAAAGATAAAACTCGTGCGTTCTGCACTTACTGGATTTCAGCCGATGCAATAGGCTGGATGCATTTTCAACATATTCAGGAGTGAGGTAGAGAAATCTAAACAACGGAAAGTGCAGGAATTAACTACTCATGGAAAGCACAGTACTCTTTTCGAGAAAGAAATTGACATTAGGTCAATAATCCGCATCTATTTAGCAGTTAGTTTGAACTAACAGTACTTCCAACACACATCAAACTCAAATGTGGGTCATCAAGATATAAAAAGGAACAAAAATATAAGCGGTTTACTAGAATTTCAAACAAACACTAAACATCTGACCAACCTTAACGAGCCATCTTGGATTTCTGACATGATGCGGTCCTTCTCATTCTGACTGGTCGTTCCACTCAATAGGCTAGCAGCAGTACCATTTAATCTGGAAGGTAATTCCGGATCATCTCAAGCCCTTATAAGAATTTTTGATCGCTTTGCAGCATCGCAGAGACAATCTCTGATGCGCGAAAAAATTCCAACACTAAAAGGAAATTTAGCAGTAACCAGGAGCGCGCGCACCACATCCCTTTGCATCAGCTTTATATACAGATATGAAAACATATTAGATGAGCAATACGATTCAATTCAAAATAACCTTTTTAAGTGTAAAAAATGGAAACCTTGACTTACTTCAAAGTCCTGACTTGATCGTTCATAAGCGAGATCAATGGAGATATTACCAGTGTTAGCGATTTAGATATCAGACCAGGAAGCTGATAGCATACGCTTTTACCGTATCCTGGTCAAAAAATGAATACTCATACGAAACATCTCCCTGAAGAATCCAACCTGTGGACATTAACACCAGTTGGTCTTTGCCATCAAGCGCATTTTTTATAATCTCCCATTGTTTCGGGCGAAAAGAAGAGTGTCCAAAATAATGCTGAAAGCATACAATTAGTGAAAGAAATGATGACTATGGAAAAATGTACCTTGAGCAAGTCAAGAACATTCTGAGGTGGATTTTTCACTCGAGTTTTTCCGTTCATTTCACTCAAAACAGATGGCGACGGCTTAGTCATAGCTCTTTCTGCTGGAGGAGGAGTAGGTGGTAGACTCCCTGCTTCTTCCTCATCGGAGCTCATAATTACCCGCTTTCTTTTTTGAGCTTTTGACTGAACTGCAACGTCTCCTTTGGCAAACAAGGTAAGTAGTTAAGAGTATCTATCTTTCCTTTGATTCAACCAAATAGGCGGCTGGGAGGCGGGGTT